GAACCCTTTCCTTTATTGTAAGCAAAATGCAATTTTTTCAAAATTCAAATGATGACATACATACAATCCAGTTACAGAACAGTTACCAAACAGCTGTTTGCACTGGCCCTGTATGTATTTGTATTGGACTATCATATCCCTCATCAGATGTAGCTTTCTAGCCTTTCTTAATGAGTGACATTTTCCATTCCTTGTTCAGGGTGGACACAATTCCCATTGATAACACAGAAGAGTTAAGTGCACAATAGTAATGGTGCAAGAATGGGGGTCAGTCCACGGGCACAGATAAGAGCCTTTATCTATTTTAAACCATTCCTACACATAGAAGTCATGATACTTAGAGTGCCCCTTTAATAATAAATGGGATAATACAGGGTTTAAACAAACAAGGGGTTTAAACCTGCAAGGTATTTATTGTTTTACTGTTTTTGGTAACTGGGGAAATGAGTGTTAGCAAGAATGCTGGTCTGACTCAATGCACATCTTGTTACATGTATGCATGCCTGGATGTATCTGTCTGGGGTCCATACCTCTCTGACAGGTGAGTGCAAGTGGCTTCTCTGGAAGCTCAGATTGGAGATCTGGAGAAGCAAATTGCGACATTGAGGGAGATTGACAATGTTGAAAGGGTCTGCTGCTCACTGAGCAAAGGTTAATGGGGGCTGGTAGTGGAGTGGGAGGAGATAAGAGAGCTGGGGAACAGGCATGTAGCTGGGTGACAGTGGGGTGAGGTAGTGGGGGGAAGGGAAGAGGAAACGGCTAGCTAGTCCTAACTTTGTAAAACCTACTGGTAGCAGGTTTGGATTTGCCTGTTTAAGCATGGGCATCTGCAGGACGGGGCAAAGGAGTGCACTTGCCCCCCCGTCTTTTTACACGCATTATTGGCATCCTTATAGCTTTTATAGGATGCCTTTAATTTGTCCCATTTAAAGGCTTTAATGGGGGCTGGTAGTGGAGTGGGAGGAGATAAGAGAGCTGGGGAACAGGCATGTAGCTGGGTGACAGTGGGGTGAGGTAGTGGGGGTAAGGGAAGAGGAAACGGCTAGCTAGTCCTAACTTTGTAAAACCTACTGGTAGCAGGTTTGGATTTGCCCGTTTAAGCATGGGCATCTGCAGGACGGGGCAAAGGAGTGCACTTGCCCCCCCGTCTTTTTACACGCATTATTGGCATCCTTATAGCTTTTATAGGATGCCTTTAATTTGTCCCATTTAAAGGCTTTAAATGCCCCTTTCTTGCTCCCTCCCGACAGGCAAATTTCCTGTGGACTGTGGCAGCTTAGTCCGAGGGAAAGAAGGAGTGAGGTGCTGGGGAATGCATTTAGGCTTCCAAGGGAGCACTCCCTCCCGAATCCCCAGCAATTTGGTGCCTCTATGCTCCGCCCCCGCATTTAGGCCCCACCAACCGCATGCAGCTCCACCCCAAAGCTCCGCCCCCACACAGGCCCGGTGCAAGGGTTTTTGGGTACATAGGCGAAGATGCATTTTTCCCCCCCCCCCCCCCCAAAAAAAATAACATCTTCACCTGTGAGCCTCTTAACCTCCCTTTTGTGTTTCTTATCCCCTCTTTTAAATGTCTTACCCCCTTTAGTGTATCTTATCTCATATTTTTTCATGTGTGTGTCAGAGAACTTGTCTGTAGTGAATTTGTGTTTGTGTGTGTGTGTGTGTGTGTGTGAGTGAGATTATGTGTAAGCGAGCTTGTGTGTGTCAGTTAGCTTGTCTGTAGTGAGTATGTGTGTCAGTAAGCTTGTGTGTGTGTGTCAGTGAGATTATGTGTAAGCGAGCTTGTGTGTATGTCAGTGTAATTGTATGAAGTGAGCATGTGTGTGTCAGTGAGTTTGTCTATAGGAAGCATGTGTGTGTAAGAGAGCTTGTCTGTAGTGAGCATGTGTATGTGTGTCATTGAGCTTGTGTTTGTGTTGGTGAGCTTGTGTGTATCAGTGAGTTTTACTATAACGAGCATGTGTGTCAGTGAGATTTTCTGCGGTGAGCATGTGTGGGTGTGTCAGTAAGCTTTTCTGTAGTGAACATGTGTGTGTCAGTGAGCTTGTCTGTAATGAGCATGTCTGTCAGCAAGCTTTTCTGTAGTGAGCATGTGTGTGTCAGTGAGTTTTTAGTGACCATGTGTGTATCAGTGAGCTTGTCTGTAGTGAGCATGTATGTCAGTGAGCTTGTCTGTAGTAAGAATGTGTATGTGTGTCAGTTAGCTTGTCTGTAGTGATCATGTGTGTGTCAGTGAGCTTTTCTGTAGTGAGCATGTGTGTGTCACTGAGCTTGTGTGTGTCAGTGAGGTTTTTCTGCAGTGAGCGTGCGTGTGTGACAGTGAGTTTGTCTGTAGTAGATTGTGTTTGTGTACCAATTAAGTTGTCTGTAGTAACCTTGTGTAAGTGTCAGAGTTTGTACTAAGTTTGTACTAAGTGTGTTTGTACCAGTAAGCTTGTCTGTGTGTCAGTGAGATTGTCTGTCAGTGAGCCTATTTGTGCGTATCAGTGAGCTTGTGTTTTTATGTCAATGAGCTTATGTGTATAATGAGATTGTCTGTCTGTGAGCCTGTGTAGCAATGAGCTTGTGTGCTTGTGTCAGTGAGATTGTCTGTGTTTGTATGTGATTACGCTTACTGTGTAATTATTTTTTTTTTTACACTGACAGAATTAATACTTTGAATTATAAAAAGAAACATACCAATAATATATATATATATACATACACACATACACACACTATATGGCACAATGACTTATGGGGCTGGCATACATTTTTTTCCAAGGCTGCTTTTTACCCTAAATAGAGGCAGAGCATGGATATCATTACAATTATGCCCCCTCCCCGCCCCTGGAAAACTTCCTGCGGACGCCCATGCATTTGAGTGAAGATGTTGGGAGTGTCAGCTCAGGAGTAGCTGTACTAGAGGAAGCTGTATCTTCTAACAGAAGAGTGAACAGCCTCTCTAGTATGGGTGAGGAGGAGAGTGTAAGGAAGGCTAGACAAACTGTGGTGGTAGGGCACTCTATTATTAGGAGAGTAGCTAGGTTAATCTGCCGCTCTGATTGGCTCAACCAGACAGTTTGCGGTCTCCTGGGTGCTTGGCTCCAGCATGTTACTGACAGAGTGAATGGATTATTGCGAGGGACTGGGGATGACCCAGTACCAATGATAAATTTAGAGGAAGATGGAAGGTCCTAAAGAATGATTTAAGGGAATTGGGTAGTAAACTTAAGAAAAGAACCTCCAAGGTGGTATTCTCTGAGATATTACGTGTGCCACACGCTACAGGAAAAAAGCAGCGGGAGATTAGAGAGGTCAATGCATGGCTTAAATTTTGGTACAGGAAGGAGGGTTTTTGGTTTTTAGAGCACTGGGCCAATTTTGCACTTGGGTACAATCTCTAAAGCCATAATGCATTGCACTTAAACGGGAGAGGGACTGTAGTGCTGGGTGACAGTATGGCTAGAAGGTTGGAGAAGATTTTAAACTAGTGGTGGGGGGAGAGACATAGTAATCTACAAAATGGAGATAGGACAGAAAGGAGATGGGCTTTAGCTCAGTACAAGGGCGGTGGAGATGGGGATCGGGCAAGATCAGAACAGAGGAGGTATGTAATAGTAATAAAAATTCACATAAAGTACAAGTGACTCTTGATAATTTTAAATGCATGCTTACTAATTCAAGGAGCCTAGATAACAAAATGGGGGAACTAGAGGCAATGGCATACACTAAGCAATATGACATAATAGGCATAACAGAAACATGGTGGGATGAGACACATGACTGGGCAGGAAACAGGAAAGGTAGTATGGTATGTTTGTATGTCAACCATGAGTTAAAGCAAGATCTCAAGCAAGTAGAATGTGATGAGGAAAACTTGGAAGCTTTATGAGTAAATATCTGCTTGGGGAAGGGAAATCCATTATTGGTTGGGATTTATTGTAAACCACCTGATGTTAATATTGATGAGTAAGCTCTTTGAGCAAATTGAGAAAGCTGCAAATCTGGGAAACGCATTAATTATTGGAGATTTTAATTACCTGGACATAAATTGGGACTAGTCGTTCAGAAAAGGGAATTAGGTTTTTGAACTTGTCAAATGACACCTTCATGTCACAATTTGTACAAGCACCAACTAGAAAGGACGCTTGCCTGGTTCTAACAATTCATTTTGATCTTTTGACCAACATTCAAGTAGGTGAGCACTTGGGAAATAATGATCACAATATAGTGTCCTTTGAAATAAACTCAAAAAAACAAAAGCACATGGGGTATACTAAAACATATAATTTTAAAAAGGCCAATTTCAATAAGATAAGGGCAGCTTTACAAAATGTTGACTGGCATGAACTCTTTAGTGACAAAAACACATGAGGATAAATGGAACATCTTCCAACAAATATTAGAAAGGTACATTTCTCAGTATGTACATTTGGTAATAAATATACAAGAAACAAATGGAAACCAATGTGGCTTAGTGGGAAAGTGAGTCAAGAAATTATAAATAAGAAAGGGGCATTTAAAGCCTTTAAATGGGACAAATTAAAGGCATCCTATAAAAGCTATAAGGATGCCAATAATGCGTGTAAAAAGACGATTAGATTCGCTCTACTTTAAAATGAAAAAGTGATCGCCAAAGAGAGCAAAACCAACCCCAAAACATTTTTTTATTCTTTATTTTTGCAGCACAGTGATAAACATCTGTGTATTGTAAATAGTTTGTATTGACAGAAACAGTATAATCTTACATGGCAGTGACAGACAATTGTTAATAGTTGCTAATGCCAGAGATGCTGCACTTTTATTTTTTTGTGAAGTAAAAATATATTGAGTACAGGCTACATACACAACTTGTCATAGAGCATGAGAAGTGAACATAACAGATTAAATGACAGTTATGTATTAAGAACACTAGAGAAAGTAGAGGGTGGTAACTAATAGAGTAGTAGTACAATTTTATGTCTGGTGTTTAGTATTTTTATGGGGCCCTTTAGAGCAAATAATAGAAGAAATAATGCTGTGAGACCTAATTTATAGAAATGAATAGAAAAACACAAACCCACAATTTAATTATTCAAATTAAGTTTAGTAGGTACACATTGTGCTCTTATCGCTGGGCCTAGAACCTCCCGTTGCCGAGGGACAGGGTCTACCATCTCCCAGGACTGCTCCCAGGTATATCCACCATGCGTCCTCATTAATGCTCTCCAGGTGTGTCGAGCAGTCCCAGAGCCAGTGCAGCATCTGGTTGCTGCTTTGCTGTGGTGTCCCTGCTGTTTCTTACTGGCTCTCTTGGGGCAAAAGCTGAGCAGGGGTAGGTTGAGCCCACGGGTCTGCAGCTTGTAGAGATTCGATTCTCTTGCTCCTATGCGCCCCGTGCCAGCCGGCAATGGGTGTCCCAGAGATCTTTTTGATTCCCGAGTAGGTATGTTGGTGCAGGGAGGTTTGAGGTGTTTTTGGACTATTGTTAGGTGGTGGGAAAGTCCAGATTTTGTTGCCAGCTTCTGCCAGAATGCATCACATAGGCGATCAAAGTTTTGCAGCAAGTTCCAGGCTGCATGATCAAGGGTATAAGCCAAGTGATCTACTTGGATTTTGCCAAGGCGTTTGATACAGTTCCACACAATACACAGTGTTCAAACTCAAAGAATTTGGTCTTGATGAAAATTCTTGTTCTTCGGTAAAACATTGGCTTAAAAATAGAGTACAAAGAGTTGTCATTAACCCCTTAAGGACTGAGCCAAATGTACACGTTGTGATCAAAACAAAACGTAAACAAAAACTTGAATTTGCGCCTCTTTCATATTATGTGCACCCACACTTATTATATATCATTTTATTAAGGGGAAACAGGGCTTTCATTTAACATCAAATATTGAGGTATGAAACATAATTTAATATAAATAAAATATTAAAAAATGGGAGAAAATAAGAATTTAAAAAAACTTTTTAGTTCTACGTGACATTTTAACTGTGAATGTCATAATACTGTTTTCTTTTACTGCAATAAAATACACATATGTGTATTCAGCGATGTCTCACGTGTAAAACAGTATCTCCTATGTACAGGTTTTATGATGTTTTGAAAAGTTACAGGGTCAAATATAGCATGTTACATTTTTCAGTTATTTCACATTGAAATTCTCCAGATTGGTTACGTTGCCTTTGAGATCGTATGATAGCCCAGGAATGAGAATTACCCCCATGATGGCCAGAAAGGAAGGTGGGGGACTCCCTGGGCTGCCAGTTGAGCCCCCACACTGCGATCGCCGGCGTGGGATCGCCAGCCACTGGCTAAGTAAATAGGACAGGTTGGGCGTTCTGTTATGGACAGATGAATTAAAATAAAATGGCTATTTACTAATGTCTATTTATTCTGTGTTCACTATGTTAAAACTGGCTGCTAGAGTAAATATTCCCTTCCCCCCCTACAATGTGTTCAGTTGCTATTTCCTCTGTAAATTCCTCACATCCTGCTAGCCTCCCCCCTTCCCATCGAGCAAGCCTCATGTAACAAAATTCCTCTGTTAAAAGAACATATTCCTTTATTAAACTCCTCCCCCACTTCCTTTGTGCAAAGAACAGCTAACAAAATAGAGAATCACTGTTAAAGAAACTACTCACTCCCCCTCCCATCGTGTATCCTATATAGGTGGGAGAAGTCTGTAATGACGACACTACATCCTGTAGGGGGGGTTTAGACAAGACCCCTTAGACTGTTAACCAATTGATGAATGTATATTGTATATTTAACTGTGACTCTGTACATGACGTATTTCTGCTTTAAAAGGAACTCCCACTCCAGGGAATAAAGGCATTCCTCAGGTTTTTCACTGATCAGAAACTTTGTCTCCGGTGTGAATTACTTCTAGGGAAAGCGTGCACGCATTAATTAATCAATTTGGAAGGAGTAGATAGACAAATAATCAAAGTTTTCTTTGATCCAAAACAATTTTGGCACCCCAGATGGGACTGGAAGGTATGTTAATAAGGAAGCCGTAAAATCCCAGGACCGGAGAGGAGACCCCCAGAGATTAAAAAAAAAAAAGAGCCTGATCACCTCTGCATATGGTAAATGAGTTACTTACCCTATATTTTCCTTTCTTTGAACTTCGTTTACTCTCCGTTCCTTCACTCAGCTTCCTGTGGTTAACTCTTCGACAGGTATATAGTATGCCCACATGTCCCCTTTATTTGAATAGAACCTGTCAATTTGTCTATCTACGTCCTGAGTGTGAGTTTTATGTGTGAAAGTGTCTGTTTTACTACTTGCTTAATACTGTTATATAATGCTGCCAAGTGTGGTTAAGCGCTGGCATATTTAGCCAAGTTCGGGTTTGGTGGAAAAACCTGGCGTTTCTTTTGATTTAGTAAGACTCGGTTGAGAGTCTGGCGATTATTGAGTTCAGGTGTGCATAATAGCCCCTGGCGTTTTTTTTTGTTTTTTTTGTCCGATTTATATTAAAATTAGATTGTGGCGGTTCTTTTGTTGTTTTTAAGTTAATATTACTCGGTTGAGAGTTTAAAGGTTTATTTTGTGGTTTTGGCTAGGTTTCGGTGAAGAAACTAGCGAATGTTGTTTTGGCCTCATTTGGAAAAACAAACATGGTGATTATTTTGGATTTAATACAACTCGGTTTAGAGTTTAAAGGTTTTTTGATTTAATACAACTCGGTTTAGAGTTTAAAGGTTTTTTGGTTTAATACAACTCGGTTTAGAGTTTAAAGGTTTTATTTGTTTTAGCTAAGTTTATTTGGTAAAGTAAGAACTGGTGCCTTTTCTTTTAGTAAAGCTCAGTGTAGAGTTACAAAGAAAAGAAAAGGAAAAGTTAATGTTTATGTGCTTGAGTGTTTCTGTGTGTGTGATTTGAGTTATTAGCCGACATTTATTTTAAGGACTTTGTGATTTAATTACATCTGTATTTTGTGCTTTTGTCTGTGTATGTCTTGTTGGGTACAATCCAGGGCCGGACTGGGAAAAAAATTAGGCCCAGGCATTTTTCAATCAGAGCGGCCCCCTAAGAAAGGGGCGGGGCCAGAGAGTGTGTGTTTCGTCATCACTAATGACAAGCACGCCCCCTCTCAAAGTGAGCATGTTGGTTCAATGCCCAGAGCCCTGCTGAAGAGCTCTGGCATTAGAAAAAGGCCCTGAATTTGTTCTGCGCAGCGCAAGCAAGTTTAATAACATGCTTGCGCTGTGTTTGCTTTTAAATTGTCTCTGGTGTCTCCACAAGTGGGATACCAGAGGACAAAAGGGCCAGGAAAGTGCATGGTGCATATGTTTGGAGCCTGCTTGTGGGATTGCGTGTGTGTAGAGTGTGGTGTGATATTGTATAAATAGGTCAATTTAATTTGTGTTTGTGGTGTAATATGTGTGGCTAGGGACTGTAGAGAGTGTGTGTATAGGGGGCATAGTTTTATAGGGGATGCAGCGAGTGTGTTCATACGGGCTGAAGTGTGTGTGTATAGGTGACGTAGTGTGTGTAGGGGTTGCAGAGAGGGTGTGTTTAGAGAATGTTGTATGTGTTTGCTGACAAGGAGTGCATACAGGGTAAGGGATCTAGTGTGTATCTGGAGCGTAATGTATGTAGTGGTGCATTGTGAGGGGTGCTGTGGTGTGTGTGTATGTATATATATATATATTTGGACTTATTGTATGTGTGAGGGGCGCAGTGTGTGTATGTAAGAGGGGTGCTGTGTGTGAGGGTGTTTTTATCTGCTGTCACATTCTAGGTTTCTAATTTTTTTTGTCTGTTAACTCACTGAGGGTTATTTTATATATATGTGTGTGCTGTATATGTGTGGGAGTGTGCTGTGTGTGAGTGAGGGTGCTGTGTGTGTCTGGGTGCTGTGTCTGTCTGGGTGTGCTGTGTCTGTCTTGGGGGTGCTGTGTCTGTCTGGGGGTGCAGTGTGAGTTTGGGTGCTGTGTGTGTCTGGGTGCGCTGTGTGTGTCTGGATGCTGTGTGTGTCTGGGTGCTGTGTCTGTCTGGGTGTGCTGTGTCTGTCTTGCTGTGTCTGTCTGGGGGTGCAGTGTGAGTTTGGGTGCTGTGTGTGTCTGGGTGCGCTGTGTGTGTCTGGATGCTGTGTGTGTCTGGGTGCTGTGTGTGTCTGGGTGCGCTGTGTGTGTCTGGGTGCTCTGTGTGTGTCTGGGTGCGCTGTGTGTGTCTGGATGCTGTGTGTGTCTGGGTGCGTTGTGTGTGTCTGGATGCTGTGTGTGTCTGGGGGCGCTGTGTGTGTCTGGGGGCGCTGTGTGTGTCTGGGGGGTGCTGTGTGTGTCTCGGGGCGCTGTGTGTGTCTGGGGGCCCTGTGTGTGTCTGGGGGCCCTGTGTGTGTCTGGGGGGTGCTGTGTCTGGGTGCTGTGTGTGTGAGTGAATGTATTTTTTATTTAAATTTAAATATATATTTTTTTATTAATAAAAAAAAAAAAAATGATATCCCCCCCTCCCTTCTTACCTTTATCCTGGGAAAGGGGGGTGGGGGGGAGGAGATCCGTTCTGCCTGGGGGGTTGGGAGCCATGCTGCCTTCCCTGGTGGTCCAGTGGTGAGAGCGAACTCTAACCTACGGGTTAGAGTTCACTCTCGCGAGATCTGAGCGTTGCCGTGGTAACCGCGGCAACACTCAGAATCACGCGAGAGGACCCGGCGGAGCTGCTGGTTAGAGCGCCGCCGGTCCTCTCTCCTGCCTCACTCCCCAGCCTGCTGGCGGCCGCATCTCCCTGTCTGTGGGCCGGTGAGGATCTCCCCACCGGCCCACGAAAGCACATAGCAGGGCCGGCGCTCGGACAGCGCTGGCCCTGCAGGGGCCGGCCGGGGAGATCCTGTGATCTCCCTGCCGGCCTCGGCCCCATGGCCATCGCGGCCCACCGGGCATTTGCCCGGTATGCCCGATGGCCAGTCCGGGCCTGATACAATCTGTATCTTCACTCTCCTATTCTATCTTTTGTCCTAAGGAGAGCTGTGCTTAGGCAATCACATGGTTAAAAAAAAAAAAAAAATTGTGCTTGCAAGTCTTCTCCCCCCCTCCTTCTTGGTTGCTTTCTCTTGCCCTGACTGCTATGAGTATTGGCTAGGGGGGCGGGGATGGGTGAAATGCTTGTAAACTTAAACAAAGGGTAATTGCTGGACAATTATCCTAGTTAGGAACTTTGTGTAATCTTGTATATGTTGTTAAGTAAGAGGTTATTGGCATGTTGGAATAAGGAAAGTTAGATTTTGTTGGAACAAATGAATTGTGGAATTCATAAATGATAATGCAGAGAAAAGTACATTGCAGTTTGCATGTAATAGCAGCTATTCAGATGCTGTATTGTGGCAATCTTTATACACACAATGTGAAATTGCCAATAGTGAAATTGCCAAGAAATTGTTTGTTAATAAAAAAAAAAAAAACAAAGATCAGAAATGTTATGAAACTAGTCTGTACTCACAATGCATTGATTTGTAAACGAGATGCAGGTCAAGAAAATTTAGAATCAGCAGATAAAGAAATAAATTTGAATATGTTAACAGAAGACAAATCAGATTTAAATGACCAGTGTAACAAAGTAACAGAGCTGTAAAACTTAATTTGAAAATCCATTAACAATTAATGAAAATTGTGAAATGTATTCCAGTTTATGACATGTCAGTGGATGCATTTACTAATGCTGAAATATTTGAGTCAAATTTGGACAAATATAGCCTAAATGACGAACAAAGGAATAGACTATTTAAAACATGGCTGCCGACTCAAATGCATATAGACTTATTGGTAATTTTCCTGAGGATCAGTTAATTAATGAGTTTGTGAAAAAATTTCAAGATCTAGATTCAACTGCAATTGTAATTGCTAGAGAAAAAAGTACTTTGAAGGAAGTTGCTTTATTCTTAGATAAAATAAGGAAATATCCAGACATGAAGGGGTTACACTGACTTGTCAGACGCAGAGAAAGAAGTGCAGATTTCACCCCCTCCTTTTCCCCCCTAGAACTCAGTGTGAAAGAGCAATACAGACGCCTGAGCCACTCCCAATTGCCTCAACGGCAGAATATAACTAAAGTTATTTGTGTTTGGTGCACATTATTTAAGATCTTGCAGATATTTGATTCTAGAGTTAAAACCAGCACAAGAATAGAGATATGTGTTTGTTTGTTTACTAACTTGTTAGTCTGTACTGTTTTTTTATTGTTTTTGTTAGTTTTTTTCATTGTTTTTATGTATGTTATATTGGTTGTATGCTATTATACAGTAACTCCAATCAATTTACAGAAGGAAAAAAAACAATAGATTTACTCTTTGTTGCTTCTGAGGTTGATTTAAAATCTTTGATTTAATTCATGAGAATGAGATTTTAATATCATGACTGATAATGGATTACTGTATATTGCAACGCCTGGACATACACATGGTTTGGATATACTGAAGACAAAACGAATAATATATGGGAATGGATAAGGCTGATTTCCCACTATCCAGAGCCACGCCTACTCCTAAAGTAACATCACGTCCATCCTTACTATGCCCTTTTACTGTAGAATTGCCCGAATCCTAATGACCCATTCTACTACATGGTGTGACTTGTTTAAGCCTAAGATAAATTGGCTGATCAGGCTACCTGTATTAACAATGTCATCAACGATGAGTTAGAATCTGAGAAGTGTCACTTCAGGTTGTCCCAAATTTTCTTTTAACTTAGGTTTTAGTACATAATAAGGCCCATACCCACCGGCTACATGCAGCCTTGTATAGCAGGCCACATGACATCTATTTGTACCAAGCAAGGCCTGCCTGACTCCTCATTCCTGTCTAAAATTGTTGTCTCCTGCACAAGTGTACATGGCTCTCCTTGGAGTAGCCTGTTAACTAAGCCTTGCTTTGTGGTTGCCTCCACCTGTCCAATTAATCTGCTAGGTGCAGATGTCCTTCCCCCACTTGCAGGCCCCTATCACCTTATTATTTCTTTTGTTTCACACAGTGAAACCTGACCAAGAGGCAAGGGTCCTAGCTAGTTCCCCCAATACCTTTACCTGAATTATACAGGCCCCAAAGCCTGTCCAAGCTCTTACTATTCCCTAACAGGTTAAGGCTCTGGTGTTGAATGGTGCCCTGGTTCCCTGAGACTTTCCATGCAATATCCCACCTCTCCTTGTGATGGACGAATTCTGTGCAGGATAGTGTCACCCTGCAGGGATGATACTCTATTTACCTGGACACTCTTCTGCCACTTCCCAGGGGGGGGGAAATGATAAGACACTGACTATTATTTTTTTTAGCCTTTTCCTTATGATCTGTTCCGGATTTGCTGTCACTACAGTGGACCAAGTATCTCACCTCAACAATGTCTGCACAAGAAGCTGAGCTATAGGCTCCCATCACAGCATGCAAGATCTCTGAAGGAAGACTGAACTCAGAGGAATCATGTGGCAACTCTCTGGCTGACCAAGTTGTCCAAGAAGTTGTAAGTGCACTAAGGGAAGTGGACAGAAGTGTCCGGTAAGGAAATTCCTATTTTTCCCATGCAAACCTTACCTACAGACATCAAGCTCCTGAAGGAATAACAAGCAGCTACTGACCCTGGAAAGAAAAAAAAAAACACAAGCTGGAAACAGAAAGGGGCAACCCTTAAAGACAGGCTGTACTTCAACAATCTGAAGTTCTGCTTGCCCAAGAACATATACTCAGCAGTGGTCCAGTGGGCCTACGGAGCATCTGTCCAGAACCCTCATGAACTCTTTTGATCAATAAATACTCTGATGTACCAGGAATTGCCTCTCTGACCAACAGTTACTGTAAATCTTGTGCCATTTGTGCCAAGGGCAACTCAGGAAGAATGGAGGAAAGCCCCAAGCATCTAGCCAAACCTCATTATCTCATCCAGAGGAGTCAAGTCGACTACATCCAGAATGCCAAAGAGTGGCTGATTCAAATATGCACTAATTATAGCAGACATGTTTTCAGGATGGCCAGAGGCCTATCCAGCCACCAAAGTGATAACCAAGACCACATGCTGAGTAGTGCACTGTGAAAGTTACAGAGATCACCCCGTGGATTCATCATTCCAGAATCAAGCCTGCCTCTGCATCATGTGAAGTAGCATTTGTTGATCTTGACAACCCTTTTTGAAACTCCATTCTTAGAGAACAAAGATACTTGTTGAAAATAAATAAATAAATATCAAAAAGTGGGTGTTTTGATGGCCATAATAATGCCTGACCACCTGCCATCGATGGAAAGCCGAATACCCCAAAAGGGGACCTCGTGAAACTAAAGAGAAACAGACATACTCCTTACCCTGCAGCCCTCACGTCTGAGGTGCCATACGCACAGTCAAAGCTTCTTCAGGATCATCTGCTTATTTTGAGTTTGTGGTGATATTAATATTGAATGTTTAAATGATCTGAATCTGCCAGTACTAGGGTAGCATGAGACAAGATTTCTAAGATTAAGAATAAGTAAATGTGCCCTAGCCAAGGTTATTATGTCCATACACATAACACATGACAATCCCCAAGGTACTCTTGACACACCTCATTCATGCTTC